TGATAGTTTAGGTAAGTATGCAAGATATTTAATCCACATAGGAATCACTGTATAAAATAGATATAGGTTAAGCTATTTGAACAATGCATAAAGCTGAAGAAAATAAATAGTGATGTTTTTACTACTTCTTTATAGAGAAAATAGTAAATAATCATAAAAATACGTCTTTTTAGGTTTTATTTATAACACCTATATAGCAAACACATATTATAGCATGACGTGTTTTTTTACAAGAAATATTGTCAAATTAATAAATAACTGAATAAATTGAATAAACAGCCTTTTCTAATTACAGTGTAGTTTTTAAATTACACACAAACAAAAACAAGAAATTTCACACGGATTTTGTTCAAACTACTCTCAGTCTTCACCTATCAGCAATAAAAAATAGCAATTTCTTTTTAAAAGAACCTGTCACTAAACACGTCAGGATAATACACTTTTCCTCTATATTTTCAGGTATTTTTTTGTATTATCTCCAATATATAAACATACAAATAAAAATAAAGCACTCGGATTGAAGGAAAACGAGACCAAGAATCCAGCTCAAGAGGCATATGAAAACAAAGTGCATTTATCCTTTTTGCTGATGTGATTTCAAACATGCGCACACAGCTCTATCTAATAAAGGTCAGGGGTCATTAAATGAGCGTACAGTTTGATTGAGGACCAGATTGACACGGATGTAGTTTAAGGATCCCCATACCATGACCTTAAATCTTAACTATATATATAAGAATGAGAGACTTTTACCCGGCATGACAATAGTTTTAACAAATCATTTATGAATAAAAGCCCATACCTTGCGGATTTTTTTTATCAAAAAGTAAAGATGGATGACAGCTAATGACAAAGAAACAAAAGTGTTGTGATAGTTAAAATGCCCCAGAGCCAGCCTCTGGACCACCGACCACACCATATGGCCGATCTAATCGACTGGGCTGCTTGCATTGGTCATCCCTAACATGATGGCCCAGTCCTTCTACAGGTAGGTATTTAAACAACCTACAAGAGAGAGCTGCTATTGCTTTCGCTAATTAATGAGTTCATCAGGCAATTGATTTCTATCATGATGTTATAGTTAAAAGTACACAATTTATGTACGTCATCTATTGATAAACCAATAAATTGGTGAAAGTGTTAGCAACTCCGTGTTCTAGTTTGTTTATTTGATTTCATTGTACCGATCACATTAACACCTGTTTGATTTATTTCTTTATATGAAAACAACAGTGAAAGTATCCAGTGTTTTACTACAATGGGATAAGAATTCATATTGATAACGATTTTAACCTAAGTATACATCAGCATGATGAACTAACAATTTATAATAATGTTAACCCAACTATATATAACGATATTAACCACACATTATTTAAACTTATAAATAATGATAATAACCATACCATACATGACCTTACAATGCTGGTCATATTTAACAAGTTCGAACTTTTTATAAAAATAATGTCTTCAAATAAATAATAATGTATATGCAAACATTGTCTAAAGTACAAGGTAAAATACACCACCAGCCAGCTCCCCTTCCCCCAACACACACATACAAACACCCACACACACATACAAACACCCACACACACATACAAACCCACACATACAAACACACACATACAAACACCCACCCACACATACAAACACACACATACAAACACCCACACCCACATACAAACACACACATACAAACACACACACACATACAAACACACACATACAAATACACACATACAAACACACACATACAAACACACATACAAACACCCACACACACATACACACACCCACACACACACACACACACCCACACACACACACACACACACACACACACACATACAAACACCCACACACATACAAACACACACACACACATACAAACACCCACATACAAACACAAACACCCACACACACACACAAACACCCACATACAAACACCCACACACACATACAAACACACACACACATACAAACACACACACACAAACACACACATACAAACACACACACACACACACAAACACACACATACAAACACCCACACACACACACAAACACACACATACAAACACCCACACCCACATACAAACACACACATACAAACACCCACACCCACATACAAACACACACATACAAACACACACATACAAAAACACACACACACACATATACAAACAAACACACACATACAAACACACACATACAAAAACACACACACACACACAAACAAACAAACACACACACACACACACACACACACAAACACACACACACAAACACCCACACACACATACCAACACACACACACATACAAACACACACACATACAAACACCCACACACATACAAACACACACACACACATACAAACACACACATACAAATACACACATACAAACACACACATACAAACACACATACAAACACCCACACACACATACAAACACCCACCCACACATACAAACACACACATACAAATACACACACACACATACAAACACCCACACACACACACAAACACCCACATACAAACACCCACACACACATACAAACACCCACATACTCATACAAACACACACATACAAACACCCACACACACCTACAAACACACACACACACACACACATACAAACCCACACATACAAACACACACATACAAACACCCACACAAACATACAAACACACACATACAAACACACACATACAAAAACACACACACACACACAAACAAACAAACACACACACACACACACACACACACAAACACACACATACAAACACCCACACACACACACACACACACACACACAAACACCCACACACACACACAAACACCCACATACAAACACCCACACACACATACAAACACCCACATACTCATACAAACACACACATACAAACACCCACACACACATACAAACACCCACACACACATACACACACCCACACACACATACAAACACACACACACAAACACACACACACACATACAAACACCCACACACAAACACCCACACACACATACAAACACCCACACACAAACACCCACACACACATACAAACACACACACACAAACACACACATACAAACACACACACACAAACACACACACACACACACAAACACACACATACAAACACACACACACAAACACACACATACAAACACACACACACAAACACACACACACACATACAAACACCCACATACAAACACACACATACAAACACACACACACAAACACACACATACAAACACCCACACACACATACCAACACACACATACAAACCCCCACACACACATACAAACACCCACACACACATACAAAAACACACATACAAACACACACACACACATACAAACACACACACACATACAAACACCCACACACACATACACACACCCACACACACACACACACACCCACACACACACACACACACACACACACACATACAAACACCCACACACATACAAACACACACACACACATACAAACCCCCACACACACATACAAACACCCACACACACACACACACACCCACACACACACACAAACACACACACACACACACAAACACACACACACAAACACACACACACAAACACCCACACACACACACAAACACACACACACACACACAAACACACACACACAAACACACACATACAAACACCCACACCCACATACAAACACCCACACACACATACAAACACACATACAAACACCCACACACACATACACACACCCACACACACACACACACACCCACACACACACACAAACACCCACACACACACACAAACACACACATACAAACACCCACACCCACATACAAACACCCACACACACATACAAACACCCACACACAAACACACACATACAAACACACACATACAAAAACACACACACACACACAAACAAACAAACACACACACACACACACACACACACAAACACACACATACAAACACACACATACAAAAACACACACACACACACAAACAAACAAACACACACACACACACACACACACACAAACACACACACACAAACACCCACACACACACACAAACACACACATACAAACACCCACACACACACACAAACACCCACACACACACACAAACACCCACACACACATACAAACACCCACATACAAACACACACATACAAACACACACACACCAATAAAAAGGGTGCTTTATAGCAAACAAACGTATCAAAAGACGTGGAGGCAAATCATTCTAAACATTATCAGAATAGTAAGATTGCGGGTTTGCTGCCTATATGAAACGCAGAATTACTTATTTTACACTTTTTAATATTTGACTGATAAACGAAATAAATATACCAACATCTTTTTGAATTTACCCGATTTCCGCACGTCTAATCCCCACAAGCTATTTCAATCAAACCTTATTAAAAATGATATTCTACCACCATGGTCATCATATGTTACTGAGTGCACTCCTATCACTGATCTCTTACAAACTCTACCTGCGATGATGATACAGTTACTGTCCTAGATTGGTATAATACATAAATAATTATTCTGATTATCAATTAAGTGATTTTAATTACATGACCTTTTAACTTAACCTAATTAAGAACTTACCTGGTCATGAAGGTAGTGGATAATGTGAAGGTTAATATATTTCTTATGTCGTGTACTCAAAATATCGAGTCAACAAAGCAAGATTTTTCTAAAAAAAACAATCACCCTATTAGTTCCACCCAAAGCACAACCCTATACCTCTCCATGGATTCCAATAATTTAAACTGGGTTCCGTGACGATTAATAAAAGGTACATACATAATTCATCTGTTCCTGAACGATATAAAACTTTGTATAATGGGGTCTAATTATTTTGTTTCATCTTGTGTAACAGAAACCTTTGTACAAGTGTGTACAATAATAAAAAGATGATATTTTATACCGTCATTTATTCTATTAAATAAATGACATGTTTCACTTTCAATCTTTGGTTTTCTGTTATTTTTAACCTTAATACAAACAGAGCACATCCTTATATGTTTTGATGCAGAGCTAAACGAAGTTATCGTCAGACATGCTACATTTACGTCAGTAATACGACATTCCTTGGCCGTTTAGTTATTCTTTAGCGACTCTTTTGTAGCGGTAAGATCCTTTACACACATATGAAAAAGGCTCAAGATTTATCTACTCAAATAAATGGCCCCATGACATAGCCAATTATAGGCGAAACTCACTGTCTTTAGTTACTAAGCGTAATATTCACGATCAAATAACCTATTTCTTTGACAATAATTTTCATCCTTACCTACATGCTTTGATATCGGACTCTGAATACCTGGCAACACTGCTGCGTCTTGTGTCGGGCTTTGCATGTGCCTTTGACGAGAACATCTATAAGGTAAGTTGTCATTGATTGTATCCAGCATAATCCACTTCCACTAATCACCACGTCTGTTATCGTACTCACATGCTGCAGAGAACGCTTTGGTTTTCTTTGAGATTTTATCCTTTATGCTTTAATGACGTTGTTCATACCTCACCACAAGGACAGAATGAATTATGAACACGCCGTAATGGACGTAATGTAGAGCGTGTTCTAAATGTTCAAATTGATAGTTCGTCTCATAAGGTTGCTTATTAGAATGCTTACCACACTAGCTATGGAATGGTTAGAAGTTAAAGATATGTTGGGTGTTTTGCTCAAACATCAGTACTATATCCTATGTTTACTGAGCAGAAGAGCATGATTTGTGATAAGAAATATTACTTTATTTACAGAAAGTATCAGACAAATGGTAATAATTGATTACATGTATATATACTGTTAAGTGGACTAGCGGCTAATACATATAAAATGTTACATAACACGACAAAATATCTAGCCTTTATATCAATCTCGGAGCTTAATACATGCAATTACCCTTAATTCAATGTGGTATTAATGACGTTTTGTTATACATTGGGCATTTGTTTATCACAAAGTTCATTTTTCGGTCTTTCGCTTTACGAAGAAACATTCTAACGCATACGTTAACTGTTTATGATCGGCAAGAGTCAGTCAGCGGAAGACGCAATGGCTCTGTGCTCAGCCTTTTATAGGATAGTAGACACCCTCATTTGTGGAATGACCGTGGATCTCTTGCATTTGTTGAACTTCTTGAGTGTGACTGCGTGGATGGTAAATCTACTGGCTTCTAGTCCCTTCAAACTGTTGAGCGTGTGTGTACATCTCGTTATAAATTGTATCTGTGTATCTCGAAAATCCCAGAATTCGGCCAGTCGCATATAGGGATTGAATGGAATTTTTGTTCATTCATGTAAATTGCGGCAATGAATAGCACGTTACAACACTTTTTGTAAATTTATTAGTTTTGATATTAGTATCGGACAGAAAACCATAAAAAAGGAACAGCCAGAACTGCAGCCTACACACAAACTTCAAACTTCAACTTCCGCCGACCAGCTGATTTTTGTTGAAACAAAAAATACATATTTACCTAATATTAACCAACACTTGATATTCATTTCATTTTTGAAAGTCGATCTTATTTGGTGTGGTTGTTTTTGCATTAAACACCGCATATTATATATTTAAAAAAGTTTATGTCCGCACTATTTCAAATCATCGGTCACCATAGTAACCACCCAGGACACCCGTCAGCGGTAGGCAGAGAGCTCATTTGAAGTTAAATTTACAGCCGTTGATTTACTTTTCGCCAAAAAACCTGCAGATACAAATGATGATAAATTGAAGGATGCAGTGCCTTGTGCCAATACAAAGTTCTCTGAGTTTAATGTGCGAGTTGATATCATGGGGATTACCCAGCCGGACGTGTGGGTGTTAAAAGGTTTGTGACCACGAGGAACCGATTGCGAATCGGAAGTCAGTATTTAATATGAACATGTTATATTTTTTGTTTTTAATTTCATATTAAAATAATCATAGTACAATGGTGCACCATTTATGATTTTTGTTAGTTTATTATTATTTTCGCAAATAGGTTTTCTCGGAGAAGGGGAGATGACCCTTCTTAGAAACGGTACTATGCGTAGTAATATGATTTGTATGTGTGTGAAATCAGCTGACCGGTTGCACGATAATCGTTGTATTCATAGCGTATTCACGGTCTAATGGCAATTTTTTTGTCAGTTGGTAGATTCATGTACAGAACAAACATCAAGAAAGTAAAGATGTAAAGGGAACGTCCAAATACTGAAGTTCACTGTATATGATTGACATGACGTATCAGTCAACAAGAGAAGAGACAGTGTTTAAATACACTGATTCAGCCCTCAGTCATTAACATGATGGTAGACACCCACACGTGTTGGCTGATGAGGGAACTCTTGCAATTGGTGAGTTTCTGGTGTGCTACCATAGTTACCGTTTGGCGGATACACGCATTGATTTCTAGTCCCTTCAATCTGTTGAGCGTGTGTGGTAGACCACATATAGAGGACTACATCCCTGACTAGGTGTTCAGACGACGCCTCGCCGATCTCCTTCAATATACATACGCCGTCCTCCGTTATCTCTGAACCTGCAAACCAGGCAATGTCGTTGTCGGAAGGAGAAGGCGCCACTTCCTCAGACAGGTACAGATAACTCTTGACAAATCTGAATATATAATCAAATGTCCAATGGTTTTAATTCAAATTATAGCTTTAAGTAATGTTCAACGGAATAACATTGCTTTTCTCGAACCAGTTTTGAAAATTTTATTAGAGGTTTATAAATTATCCATTCAATTTTATATGTTCTTTTGGATCTATTGAAATTTAAAGTTTTGCGTATTTCAGAGGAATACTTCGTCAACAGTTTGTGCGTATACTAAATAAAAATTGCTTCTTGAAGTAAAACCTATACTTCAGAAAAGAATATTTACACTCTTACCTTCTCCGAAATACGGGTACCAGAGCCAAAATCAGATGGAAGAGACCACTAAGGCCAGTAATGACACACACGATCATTAGCCACACCCAAAGGAACCCAAACATCATCTCGTAGTACGTGATATTGTTGAACGTGCACTGAACAGAAAAACGAATCGTATTTGTTATTTGCCGGATAGAGTAATCACATAGGAACACTTTTAGAAATTTAGGGTCTATGGTTCGCCAAGTCAATGTTTCATTGCTCGAAATATCTTCGGCCAATTGCTGTACAAATGAAGTCTGGTTTTCTGCCTTCAGAACAACATTCATGATAGATAATTGTGTGATGACGTTGATGAAGTAAAGAAGCTTTGTGAACAGAAACAGCAGAGTAAGCCATCCCCACGGACATCCCTTCAACACAGTGGAATCAATCCAGCTCTTCACGTACCGTCCTACTTGTCTCCCCATTTGTGCTCGGTCAGCCATGTTAAGGGTCTCGTAACCGTCTGTAAGTCCCAAAATCTTCGTAAATCGGAACCCCACAAGGCCCTGTCCTACTGACAGGACAATGTCAGGAAGCTTGAACAACAATGCCTGTACGAGAAGAATGAGCGGTATCCAGCGATACGGCGGTTTCGTCATTGGTGAAGGATTGCTATCCAATGGTTCATTGTTGTTATTTACGTCATCATTCCTCAGATAATATGCGGAGCTTTCCCAGCAAATCTTATTGGTATATTTTACTGTTTGTGATGTAAAATGAGCTGGTGTCCAACAGGTGACGGGGTCGTACGCCATGTGGATGTACAAGGTCAGCAAAGAACACAGAACAAGGATCCCGACAGTCCACGTACTGTTGAGTCGCCCACACTGGTCATTCAGGCGGAGACTGGACTGGGTCAAATGGCGTAGGAATGGCCGCCAAACCATGGTGTTATATATCTGTAAAAGTGATATGTATTATCAAAATGAGTATGCACTTTTGTATTGATTTATGTTCCCACAAAAAATGTCATAATATATTATCGAGCATAGATATGACTTTTCTGCGGTGTTATTTTTAATGTACCAAAATTTACGGCTTAACTGGGTTAATTCATTCATGAGTGTGTGGATGATGAATATATCACAACGATAATAAAATATAAAATCTCAAAAAATGAATAAGGTTTGATGCCTGTGCTTATGAGTTTTTATAACATGTCAATTGTTTGTTATTGACCAACAAATTGTCCTTTACAACAAAGACGCGGTAAAATTTTATAATTGACTGATATCTGCATGTTACATAGCTTTTGAAGTCCACCTTTTAATCATAATAATTCGTTAGGAAAATGTGGATTTTTTTCGTTTAATTTTGTAAAGAAATATTAAGAATTCTACTACTTAAAATCCAATTTTCTTCCAGAACATATTATACTCATAATGATAAAAGAATATCTACTACCTACCAATATTTCTGCCTTGAGGTGGTTCTATAGCAGTACTACGTGGTAATAGACAAGGCTGTGTGTTCAGTGACAAATGTAAACATCTAAAATGAAGCTACCTCACAGTTGCACCTTGTTTTCAATTCATCAGAAAAACAGAGGTTAAGAGGAAGCTTACAAAATAGGATAGAATAACACGTTACACACGTGCATGGGTGTCTGATCCACACCTTTAGGATATAATATCACTTTACACACGTGCATGGGTGTCTGATCCACAACTTGAGGATAGAATAACACTTTACACACGTGCATGGGTGTCTGATCCACACCTTTAGGATAGAATAACATTAAACACACGTGCATGGGTGTCTGATCCACAACTTTAGGATAGAATAACACTTTCCACACGTGCATGTGTGTCTGATCCACAACATTAGGATAGAATAACACTTAACACACGTGCATGGGTGTCTGATCCACATCTTCATCTATAATGGTATTGCATGCAAATTTTATTCGTTAGTTACTGTGAAGCATACAAAGCAACAGAAATGCTGAAAATATTTACCTCGTGAGCCGGTGATGAAGCCTTCCGTCTGAATGAGATCAGTGTGTAGAGTGATACACACAGGGGCCCCAGTGTGACATCTACCAGAGTGTTGTGTGATGGCGAGAATAAGGTCCTAGTATTAACAGTAGTAGCCAGTAATGCGAGCTCGCCTACCATCAATTAAGAATACAAACCACATATTTTAGGCCAAATCAAACCAACAACATGAAGTTTTTTTCAAAACTGTTTCCAAATAAAAGGGTACAGATATCAACAGGAAATAGGAACACGAAACTATTGCCTTTAATGATAGACACAACAACAATGTTTGCATTCGTATTGCAGTTGATATTATGCTAATGATTGTTTACGTGTTATGATAGAACTCATTGTAAGCTTGTAAACAATTTTAGAGCCAACACGATAATGATTATGATATGTAATAGACGTCATTGTAATATTTGTTTGAAATAATGTTATTTTTGTATACATTTGATAATTAACATCATGGTAATATTTCCTCACATATTATACTCCCAAAGTGACAAATCAGTAACAAAAGACATATCAGCGTCAACACATAATGTTCGTATGACAAAACAGCAACAAAAGACACATCGGCGTCAACACATAATGTTCGTATGACAAAACAGCAACAAAAGACACATCGGCGTCAACACATAATGTTCGTATGACAAAACAGCAACAAAAGACACATCGGCGTCAACACATAATGTTCGTATGACAAAACAGCAACAAAAGACACATCGGCGTCAACACATAATGTTCGTATGACAAAACAGCAACAAAAGACACATCGGCGTCAACACATAATGTTCGTATGACAAAACAGCAACAAAAGACACATCGGCGTCAACACATAATGTTCGTATGACAAAACAGCAACAAAAGACACATCGGCGTCAACACATAATGTTCGTATGACAAAACAGCAACAAAAGACACATCGGCGTCAACACATAATGTTCGTATGACAAAACAGCAACAAAAGACACATCGGCGTCAACACATAATGTTCGTATGACAAAACAGCAACAAAAGACACATCGGCGTCAACACATAATGTTCGTATGACAAAACAGCAACAAAAGACACATCGGCGTCAACACATAATGTTCGTATGACAAAACAGCAACAAAAGACACATCGGCGTCAACACATAATGTTCGTATGACAAAACAGCAACAAAAGACACATCGGCGTCAACACATAATGTTCGTATGACAAAACAGCAACAAAAGACACATCGGCGTCAACACATAATGTTCGTATGACAAAACAGCAACAAAAGACACATCGGCGTCAACACATAATGTTCGTATGACAAAACAGCAACAAAAGACACATCGGCGTCAACACATAATGTTCGTATGACAAAACAGCAACAAAAGACACATCGGCGTCAACACATAATGTTCGTATGACAAAACAGCAACAAAAGACACATCGGCGTCAACACATAATGTTCGTATGACAAAACAGCAACAAAAGACACATCGGCGTCAACACATAATGTTCGTATGACAAAACAGCAACAAAAGACACATCGGCGTCAACACATAATGTTCGTATGACAAAACAGCAACAAAAGACACATCGGCGTCAACACATAATGTTCGTATGACAAAACAGCAACAAAAGACACATCGGCGTCAACACATAATGTTCGTATGACAAAACAGCAACAAAAGACACATCGGCGTCAACACATAATGTTCGTATGACAAAACAGCAACAAAAGACACATCGGCGTCAACACATAATGTTCGTATGACAAAACAGCAACAAAAGACACATCGGCGTCAACACATAATGTTCGTATGACAAAACAGCAACAAAAGACACATCGGCGTCAACACATAATGTTCGTATGACAAAACAGCAACAAAAGACACATCGGCGTCAACACATAATGTTCGTATGACAAAACAGCAACAAAAGACACATCGGCGTCAACACATAATGTTCGTATGACAAAACAGCAACAAAAGACACATCGGCGTCAACACATAATGTTCGTATGACAAAACAGCAACAAAAGACACATCGGCGTCAACACATAATGTTCGTATGACAAAACAGCAACAAAAGACACATCGGCGTCAACACATAATGTTCGTATGACAAAACAGCAACAAAAGACACATCGGCGTCAACACATAATGTTCGTATGACAAAACAGCAACAAAAGACACATCGGCGTCAACACATAATGTTCGTATGACAAAACAGCAACAAAAGACACATCGGCGTCAACACATAATGTTCGTATGACAAAACAGCAACAAAAGACACATCGGCGTCAACACATAATGTTCGTATGACAAAACAGCAACAAAAGACACATCGGCGTCAACACATAATGTTCGTATGACAAAACAGCAACAAAAGACACATCGGCGTCAACACATAATGTTCGTATGACAAAACAGCAACAAAAGACACATCGGCGTCAACACATAATGTTCGTATGACAAAACAGCAACAAAAGACACATCGGCGTCAACACATAATGTTCGTATGACAAAACAGCAACAAAAGACACATCGGCGTCAACACATAATGTTCGTATGACAAAACAGCAACAAAAGACACATCGGCGTCAACACATAATGTTCGTATGACAAAACAGCAACAAAAGACACATCGGCGTCAACACATAATGTTCGTATGACAAAACAGCAACAAAAGACACATCGGCGTCAACACATAATGTTCGTATGACAAAACAGCAACAAAAGACACATCGGCGTCAACACATAATGTTCGTATGACAAAACAGCAACAAAAGACACATCGGCGTCAACACATAATGTTCGTATGACAAAACAACAACAAAAGACACTTCGGCGTAAACACATAATGTTCGTATGACAAAACAGCAACAAAAGACACATACTGTTAGAATGGAAAAACAACAGGAAAATGACACAATAGGATCAACACGTACATAACGTTCGTTTGACAAAATAGCAACAAAAAGACACATCGGCATCAACACATAATTGTGGCTTGACAAATAACAACAAAAAGATACAACTGCATCAACACATGATTTTGTCTTGACAAAATCAAAACGAAAGGATACAACAATGTTTGTGTATTTAAGTGGAAACAAAATAATGTTCATATTACGAAAAGATAATAATATGAACTAATAATGCGACACGAATCCAGGACAGTCTTTTGGCCAAAAATGACTTAAATCAACCCAGATATTAAAATACAAATGTCGTTTATCAAGTACTAAAAACGACTGCTACACATTTTCGGTGTAGATAACACATTACTACAATGTTTATAACCTCTTTGTGGTCTTGCGAAGTGTTTACATTTACAAGCATTCCTTTTTCAAGGACGCGAATATCAGTCATACGATAGGCCAAAGTTCTGTACATGTGTATGGGTGTGGTTAACTTGTTGGTGGTTTTTTCTCTTTATTATTTTTCTCTCTATCGTACCCTGTGAAAAACTAATATTGGTGTTAAATTTTGACGGGACAGCATATTTCATTAAAACACCCAATTAACATTCATTTAAACATGATGTGAACTTTAACGTGAGTATATTTGTGGCATTTAAGTTTTAATGTTTGATATAAAAAGAAAATCTACAAAGTAGATGTACTTGAACTTACGTTTGATTCTGATGTAAATTTTGATTCAGCGCGGCTTATAATATGTAACTATTTTTTTATTTTTTTTAATTTGTTTATTTTTTAAGACATTTTTATTACATAAATACATAAACACACATACACCCACATACATACAATTCCCATTTGCATGGTTTGTCTCTTGCATCGTCATATCTTTCATCATCATCATCCTCATCGTGACTGAATATCATCATCAGCCTTGTCAATCATCATCAATAGTAATACACCATTATCATCTTAATACATCATCATCATCAACAACATCATCACCAATCTATCATCATCCTAGCATCATCATCATCAACATTCTATTAATCCATCATCATCATCATCATCAT